TCGTTGGTGGCCGAGCCAAGCCCGTACGGATGGGCATGCGGAATGGGGGGCGTATCGATCGCGCACTCTTTTGTCCTTCACTTCGAAACCGCTCGATATTGTTCCGCGCCCCGTACTGTATTGTGCTCTGATTTCGTGAAATTCACGTCGAACATGTTACTATTCGAATTCTTCCTAGTAATACCAGTAATACCCCCTAATACTACCGGTTTTTTTAAATTTCACCATCCAATCCGTTCATGTGTTATTTTGTGATGTTTATCATTAGCGCATTCTAGGTATCATATTATCATGTTTGTTAATCGAAATTTTCGCTGATTTTGCTGTTTACGCGCTGTTTGCCCCTTTGTTGAGGACTTAAAGGCCCCCTTATCACCTCATTAGATGAAGTGTTTGTCCTATTATCTGTAACTCTAGGCCCACTTCTGTTTCCAATACATCAGTGAGTCAGTATGGAATGAGGAAGTTTCCCTCACGTTCCCGATAAAAACTGCTCGCTGTGTGTGTGTATGTGTATATGTGTGGATATGTGTGTGTATGTGTATGTGTGAATGTGTGTACGTGTATGTGTGTGCGTGTGCGCGTGTGTGTGCGTGTGTGTGTGCGTGTATGTGTATGTGTGTGTTGTATGTGTGTATATATGTATATTTGTATGTGTATGTGTGTGATTGTGTGTGTGTGGGGTGTGTGTGTATGTGTGTGTCTGTGGGTCATTCTTCCAATTCAATTGAACTGATAGTGACGCTATCTACGCCCTTGTCAAAACAACGAACAAATGTTTTTAAGACTATTTCTAATGCACCAATTGTCTAGAACATTGTAACAATCTTTCATAACAAGAATCAGCTGTGCTTCAGCAGTAACAGTATTGACCACCTTGCATAACTAGTAAACCTCTAGCCAATCTATTTTTAAATGAACATGAGCTCGCTACCTACTTCACCAGTGGTTCGAATCAAATCAGTTCTACTTACCTCTCCAAGTAGATTTTCCTTGCAGGTGGATCAGATTTATCCTCTCCTGCCTGATGACATAGTTATCAAAGGATTTTTTTTCATTGGTTGTTTACTTGTTAATTACCAGTACCATCATTAAAACCATGGCGTCAATCTCGTTTTGCCCCAAAACCAATATGAACATCATAGGACAGATTAAACGAATGTTCATTTCACGTATTGCTGAACCCTTAGCGACCATCATTTTGACCCTGATTGCCTCAGAATACTGCCATACAACAGTTGATATTCAATTCTTCCCTTGCGTGCGGTCGCGGCGCGGTATGTGTGTTGCTACCGAACGGCCCTAGGTGTGTATATGTGTGTCCTACTGTTTAAGCAAGGGTTGTGGCTATGCTATTAGATGTAATTTCACTTTCTTTAAATTGTTATTTATTGTCCTAGTTGTATGTAATGTATTCAGTTGCTCACCCACGGTGAAATGCCCTTCCTGGTGTATTTTTGTTCATATCACCTGTTTTCATTGGGTAGACGATCTTATCGCTCATTTATTCGTGATTGTGTGTACTCTTTTGTAAAGATTCTTGTTTTCTAGGCGTAGCGTGCCTACGTCAAGGTGAACAAGTAATGTGTTCCTCGAGAGAGGAGCTGCACATGTGAATGATTGAGTCTTTTATATTCATGCTTCTACGGCAACGGCTGTGAAGAAGAAAAAGAAGAAGAAGAACAATGACCTCTCCAAGTATCAATTTCGAAGAGGATTCTGAAGTCATTAAATCGGGTCCTGTTGTCGCACGTTATGTCGCACCTTTTCCCCCCTTTGTAAGTTTAACATTTTTATTTGATTTTCACTTATTGCAGTTCGATCGATAATCATCATTTCTATTTTCTGCACTGACGTTACGAGTTGGTCGCTCCCGAATTGCTCTTTTTTAACAAAACGGTTGTTATGTTTCGAAAATACTGGCAATTCGCCAATCTGTTTTTTGAGTATTTCACTCGCGCAATGGCGATCTAAATTAGCTACTTTGTAAGCATTAACATATCTTTTTTTTTTGAGTCTCACGTTTTTGTTTGTGAATAATTTGGAGTCCATGCTCCAGTGTCTAGGATATAGGAAATGATTTAGGAAATTTCACTACATCCTGGTTAAGTGTAGACTTTTTTTGTAATTGAAAGCCCAACGGAAGTTTTTTTAGCAGGTTATTTTAATTTTTAGGTTAATTCTATTTTTCCGTTTCATGTCACTTCGAGTCATACACTGTTGTGCCGATACTGCTACAATTTTACCATTAATATAATATGTAAAAAATAGATAAAATAATATGAGTACAGAACCTGGGTGTCATAAAACTGCCCGTTTGGATTCGAACATATCGAAGTGGAAATTTCAGAATTTAACCCATTGACGACCATGCAGTCCACATGTGGACTGCGGTTGTATTTTTTGTTTTGTTCATCTATATTTCCATTTTTTTACAATTTTTTCTGTTTAAAACATTACATCAAGTCTATATGAGACTACATAAAGCGTGACCCTGGAAAATCTTCTAGTCTTGCGATTGCAAAGGTGTTTTTTCGAAGGAGTACATTACCTTGGTGAATTTTTCGTTCGTTGAACATCTTCAAAAAATGGGATTTTTCGAAAAGACGATCGTCATTAGCATTTTGTCTGTCATCGACCAAATGCAAAGCTCGTAAAAGTTCCCCCAGAACGATTTCTGGTAATGATTGAAGTCATAATTGAATGACCACTAGAGCGAACGCTGTTTTTATAAAAAAGATCAATAATCACTCAGTGTGGACATTCTTTTCAATCCCATTCAAAGGAACATTCCGAAAACTTATAAATATCTCTTATAAACTTCAAAAAAATGGTCATGCTGGACCATGAGAGTGGACGAAAAGCGCGCCGGTCCCTCGCGGCGGTTTTCCCGCAAAACGTCATGGTCGTCAATGGGTTAATTTGGAGGAACTGTACAAAAATTTACTTATGTATAGAGCCAATTATTGTCCATTTTCCACTGATTTGGCAAGATTTTTGGAAAGAGTTTTAGTTTCATAGTTACATTGTTCCAAAACCGAATACTGTGTTTACATTGTTCTTCCCTTATATTGACACACCATTATGTTGCCCTTTGTTTCCAGAAATCCAGAAAGAATTATTATGCTGTATTATGTGAACGTGCATTGGAATTACACGAAAGCGAGAAGACATACAGAAAACGAAAATCCGCTCTTCATCTCATTGATCTCTCACAAGCATTCAATCTTCATAACGAACATGTAAGTAGTTTTTTATGTTTTAATAACAGTTGCTATTATGGGCTGTAGTTCATATATCTTTAACGTGCACAAGTTTCTCGATTGAGGTTTTTTTGTACTGGTTGAGTCATCATTGTTAATCCTCAAGGTTGTGAAATGAGACGCGCGCTTAATTGAACTGATCTGATCTTTGATTATTCGTTTTGCGTTTACTATTACATAACGCTGACTCATCGCATCGTAGGCAATGCTTGTGTGCACCTTTCGAACCCTGAATTAAGCACCCTACATTTATAGGTCGTCGCTTATGACGCTTTATCACCGTTATTGTTCAAGCCTTTTTTTCTGTTATCTAAAAACAGTGTCGACAAAAACCTGACAAGTAGTGTCATAAGTGTTGGTGGTTATGGAGCGGAGGCGTAGCATTTCCAGTACTGCATTTAGAGTAGGTATATCCGAACTCTTGTCAGAGTTTGCGATGATGTCAGTTGGCGTTTGCTGACGTAAATACTTGAGAGGCTTGCTCCTCCATTTACAAGATATTTAGTTATATCAAGTGTCGATCAATATAGCATTTTTAGCTCACGTTGCGAAGCTTTATTGAGTTAACGTTGAAGGTTATGCTACGCGGGTGTTCAAGGGTACCTTGACAAAAACGAAGTTGATACCCTATCACTCGTTGTTTACAGGAATAGAATTCAGCACGGGAACTAAGTCTTAACAGTAATCCGGCTGTGGGTCCTGTCCATCACGATGTGTGTATCAAGTAAGGTTACATCGTGGAAATGTGAAAGAAAGTGAATGGTTACGTTATAGAATGTGAAATTTTGCATCTATTACATTTCATTTACCAGTGAATTCACGGTAAGAACTAGTTTCCCGTAGTGAATTTGTGGTTCTATTCGATGTAATAGGAAGAAAGTCTACTCACCTTGTCCTTCGATGGTGCCCTCTCTCTGACAGCGAATGAACTCATTGACTTGAAGTTACCGAGTTGGGTTTGACAATAAGTTTTTAGCTGAAGGAAGGCGAACCATGATTGTTTATACTATCACTGCACACGAGCATCTCAAATCGTTTACTGATAAGCATATAACTATGTACAAAAGGCCCGTGACGATATTTAAAGGTCGTTTACTAAATGTAGGTAGTATCAGTAATGATGATTACCACTCACTTTCTTGGCCATTGTAGTGCACCTTCAAACCGGCTGTTTAGTTTAAAACAGTAATGATTCCACATAATACATTTATTTACATGGAAGATGCAGAAGTATGTTTGGCATGAACAAAAACTTGAGGCTGATCTATGGGTTTCACAGCATCATTCGACGTTTATTTTTTTCTGTACATTCATTGATAAACAAATTCACTGCAGTGAACACTTGATAAACAAATTTATTGCAGTGAACACTAAGCTGTTTGCATTTTCTTATACTAACTTGGATTGCCATAAAAATTAACCAATTTAATGTAAAAAGAACTAGATGTCGCAAGGAAGTTAAAGCATCATTCATGCGAAACCCACTTTCTTCTTAAGCTAAGAGACACTTTTCGTTGATATGGTCGACAGTATGATTAATCATCATTCAACTTCAACTTTCCTTTTGACACCAATTTCTTTGGCATCGAGCCAACTTTTCTGCAGTTTTATTGTCTTTTTTTGTTTTATTTGTAGTGTACAGGTTGTCAAAAATATATTCTTGTTTCTCACAATCAGTGGCGTGAACTGAACCGTTAAGGAAAAGCTGTGCTTAGTTACCTTTCACTCACGAGTGATAGCCGTGGATAGCTGCTGTAGACATGTCTTAGTTGTGGAATGTTTTTCCTTGTTTTGGTGACGTTGTAATCGCTCTGTAAGGAAATTCATGTTGATTGAGATTACGGTAACATCGCAACATCGGCGAACAGCAAAAATGAGAGCAAGGGAGCGTCTATGAAATTGCACGTTTATTGTTCGCATGGCGCTGTTGCTGAATGACATCATTTCGCTTGGGTTCATCGGTCAAACTTCCGTCATTTTATTATCACGTAAACGATCCTGTTATTCATCTGCTGATTAGTAGTTATCTGAGTCATTGCTTAACATCCCCGAAACAAGAATCGTGGGTTTAATAAGTAGGTGAAGAGTATTGGTAAATAGAATTTGTTAATCGTTTTCATGGGTAAAGGTCAATTCTATTGCGTGCCGAGAAGACAGGTTTTAATTTGCAATTAAAAGAATAGAGCAACCTAATAGCGAACTGCCAAATGTGCAGTGCGGCTAAAGGAGCTCTGTGAGAATAAAGTAAACTTCAGTGGAGAGGCAGTGCAACGAATTAAAGTGAGAGAGCCTCATGGGATTCCTAGCAGAGATAAACTGATGTTGCTTTTCCACAAGTAAGATATGAACTAGAGAATACCACCGTAAGAAATCATAGATAAGAAAGTCAAAGGGGAAGTCATCCCTACAGTAACAGCGTGTGGGTCCTAGCTTGAACACCTGGTGATGGAACATGGCCACGTAGAGGGTTTGCGTCGGGCCTCCCTTCTCTATGGTCCATTTTTAATGTGCCGTATATACGGCGGGTACAGGATGTGAGCATTCAAACAGCGTTATATAGTAAAATGTACGATGCTGCACATGATTTACTACGTCAACTGCATTTTGTCTCACTTTCAGTTCGATCCGAAACTCAAAAAATGTGTGTGCTTGATGTTACCCGATGAGACCCTGTGTCTAAAGGCGGATGATGTTGGCAAAGGTGGAGATGAAGGCCGTCAAAATACGGAATGGTACAATGCGATCATGTCAGCCCTCATTCCGTCGAGATTTTTGCGTCTGGGAAGGCCAATTCAACCACAAGAATTTTTTGGTAATGCTTAGTAATTTTATGGCCTTTAGAAAAGTAGTTAAGTACATATTCTGGAATCAGTGGTTGGCCTGTCGTTTCTTTTTTCGCTTTTCTTTTTTGAAATGAATGCATTATAAACTGATGACACATTCGCAGCATAGTAAATTCATTATTATCGACTTGTTTTCAGAATGTGCCTGGGATGTGGAAGTAGTGACTGCGCCGAAACTGAAAAGACCACCAGGACGTACTGAAGAGCCGCTACAGAACATATGCGTTCGACTACCGGAGATTGCAGGACCAAAGAGGTAAGTGTTTTCTATTTCCCTTTGTATGCCTTTATTTAACTATGCATTTTTCTTGTAAAAATGCTGTTGAAATCCAAAGATCCCCTTGCTTCCTTTAATGCTTTTACGCTGTCTCTGTGGGTTACGTCGAACCATAAGTAAAATCCAGAAAACGTAGAAGTTCCGGTTTCTATTTATGGTCCTGTTCACATGTTCAGTTTGTCATTTCGTGTCCATACTGACATCTGCACTGTTTTGCACCAGAAGCCTTTTTTTGATTTGTATGCTCGCTAGTAATCTTTATTTACCTCTGGAGTGAGCAAAAAAGTATCTTATGGCATGTTTATTGGGTGGCTGGCTAACTCTGTGTGTGGGAGAGCAAGCGCTCATATAATTCTCTCATTATCGGATAACGCTGGAACTATTTCCTGATAACTGAAGGCACTAAGGTAATGGAAGTAACGTTGCAGAGTGGTGCAGGAATGATGGGGAAAGCGTTAAAATCGGCGTTCTAAGAAATATGACACTTAAGGGAGTGGTAGGACAAAGGCTTTTACGAGTCAATGGTCTATAACCGTCTGGGTATGCCTATTCGTTGGCTTCCTAGCGCTTCGCTGTGAATGGTACAGCCTTACCGTCATAACACAGCCACATTTGGGTGTGTACGTCGGCCGAGCCGGTTTTGGAGCCCTTACAATGCCCTGCCGTAGTTGTTTTTCGATCCGACAAAGTCTCAGGTGCTGTATTTGGGGACTAGTGGTTCCTTCTAGGGGAAAATCGTAGAAGTCATTTTTTCATGGATTGTGCCTATAATTGAATAGTAGAGTAGTATTTCCCATATTTTCCGAACAGCGCAATAAATATTATTTCAACAAAATTTGTAGGTTATGTTTCTACGCCCACACCATCGTTCTATGTAAACGTCGCATTGAGCCAGCTAAATGTGGTATGCCGTCGTCAGGGATTCCACCATTTCACACTGATGACTTTGTTGAGATTCCAGTGAGTAGATTTCATGTTTGTGCTGTTATTTGGTGGTTTAAATTGTAAAACATTCAACTTTTTTTAATGTTAGAACTGTTCTCATGCAATCACGTGTTTGCCGCATCTCGTGAGGATGTAAAGTAAAAAAGGTTGACGTAACGCCTGTGGCATCGATCTGCTAATCCTTATCAGACGAACAATAAACACGTCTCGCATCAGTGCCATAATGGAAAGGGAAACATGTCGTAGTGTGTGGACCTCGTCTGATGATGTGTGAATGGGTTGCTGAAAGGAAAAATTCGTATTGGTTGTATTGGTCTTGTTTGTAGTTGGATGAGCACAACCTTTGCCATTAATTATTTTTGTATTGTTTTAAGGGCAGTATGTGTAATTTAATCCTTCATGAGCTTGGAAATTACTCAAACCATGTACAAAGATGGGACCTACAGAGCGAGAGTATTATTTTTTCAGCGCAAATGTGTGGCGTTCTTTGGATGTCAAGATCGTTATTTTCTGATGAGGCTTGGAAGAGGTGCACCCATGGGTGCAAGTGAACTGTGGGCTCAATGCGACAGTGAAGAGGTGGGTTTTTTCGTCGTGATATTGGATACTTCCTTTTTTCGGATGTGTACAGTGTGACAACGAGCTCAAAAAGAAATCTAGGAATAGTTTTTCCAAATTATTTCGCGTTTTTTTTTTGGGGGGTTTGGAGGTCATCATGGTTCCGTTTGGAAGTATTGACAAAATCTATTAAAATAGCAGTTGTGCCACTCCGCAAATAGTTCATTGATAAGCGGCCGATCGCTTCCGATCAGGGGCACGCTTTATGAAGTACCCTAAAATTCCATAGATAAGAGCGGGTAAGCCTACCGGTGAAAAATGAATTGGAAAAAATCGAAATTGAATGCAGTCACCCCTCTAACTCGATGGATGGATAAATTAAACTTCGAAGAAGAAGTTAAGAAGAAGCTCCGCCCCTCAACTCTAAACCCCGCCCACTTAATAAACAATTCATATAGAAAAACAGCGATCCGTTAAAATCGCTATTTTTCTATTTAAATTGCTCACTGAGTGGGCGGGGTTTAGAGTTGAGGGGCAGAGCTTCTTCTTAACTTCTTCTTCGAAGTTTAATTTATCCATCCATCAAGTTAGAATGGTGACTGCATTCAATTTCGATTTTTTCCAATTCATTTTTCACCGGTAGGTTCACCCGCTCTTATCTATGGAATTTTAGGGTATATTTGGTATTTTCGCCATGTATTGGAGTTGTGAAGCATATTTGGAGAGCGTGTTCAATATTAGAGTCTTAGAGCAATGTATGAAAATTAGAAAGGCAGGAATAATGGACCTATTGGACCTTGAACACTTCCCTGATGATTTTCGTTGATACCATGTCTTCGGTTCATTTTGGAAAAAAAAAACTTGGAGGAGTGATATGCATGCGGCGTTTAGATTTTCTCTTGTGCGTTCTTCTTTACCTGTTCATTTTTATTGTGTTGCAGGAAAATCTTCGCTAATTTGCACGTAAATTAAGCAGGGGCATGAACGTGATTAACACGAAATTGGCTAACTTTTAGGTCGCTCTTGATATACACAACAAGTTGAATGCTATCATTGAGAGAGAATCAGAAAAGAAGAAAAGGATGAACAATGGGTTCGTAGTTTGCGATAATTTTCCTTCTAATCAAAGCTGCCCCGTTTCCCTTCTGTTTTTGACTTTTAACAAATGAGTGAATTCGCTCAGATTCTTCATATGTGGAGAATTGTATTCATAAGTAATTCCCGAAAATTTTCCAATTCTCTGATTGATATTGTATGAGAACATCCATAATTTTGAAAGGTTTAGCGTCGTCATGCCACCAGGACTACTTTCAATTAGATCGCACCATAGCCACCGTGAACGTTCTCATACCCAACCACTGAGACAGCGTACATCTTCTTTTCTCAATGGGTTAGTCTCCCTATATGTTTCGGCGAATGCTGATGCGCCTTTATTTACTAGACTGCCGCTTAACAGAAATTTTAGTAATGGATTTGTGTATTAGTTCTGAAAAAATACTCATACTTATTGTTAAATCTGTCTGAACTGTGGACATGAGTAAGAAGGTGGATGAATTGATCAAATTTTGATGTCTATGCATGTTACAGGCGCGCAGGATCATCGGCATCTACGAGCAGTACAGTTGGTCGTAAGCAGTCGACGCCAGTAGGACCGGGTTCTGCGCCGCTTGGATCACGAGCGCTGTCCATATCACATGGATCACAACCACAATCTGGGAACACTTCATGCGGCAGTAGCCTTATGAGCATTTTTCCTATTCAGTCAGTTCTGTTTTTTAAATTGAATTCACTTGCTATATCTAACTTACCAAATGCCTTGAAATTTCGATAGAGAACTCCCACCCCTTAGTTCGAAATTCCTGTAAATCCGTTTGATTTGATCATTGAATTCAAGTATTATACTACAGACGCTACTTTTATATCGAGCGTAGGATTCTCAACAGTTTCAGAGCTTCACCTAATGCACCCCATGACGATGATGATGTATACCAGGCAATGACCGCTCCCACTAAACTACGTTCATCACCTTCTACATCAACTACTGATGATACTGAGAATAGGTAACTTGAGTCAATCTATTTCGTCTTAATCCATTAAGTAGCTGATATTCGTAGCGGTGGTACGATTTGCGTCGATCAATCAGATGAAACAAGATCTTTGGGTATGTCAGTATCACAGACCGCTCATGCTGTACGGGAACCACGAATGAAGCGACAATTGTCTGAGGTTAATCATTTTCTAGCCATTTATTAGCTGTTTCCGTCTGTAAAGCAACAGCGGTAGGGTGTTGAATTGCAGACCATTCCTTATCGCGAGCAAGAGGACCGTTGCTCACTGGGAGGGAATATTGCGTCCAGTGGTCTATCAATGGAAGCCATCAATGATTTAAATGCAAATGTACGCTATAGACAAGATGATGGGTATACTCCTATGCATGCAGCTGAGTGGTCCGGTGGAAGCAACAGTCACCTCATTGTACCAGCATGTATGTTTTTTCATTCGGGTTGTGGTCGCATTCGTTCAATGAATTAAACATTGAAATGAATGTTACCGTGCTTTAATAAGTTCTGGAAGACCAATATTAACGATATTTTAAGATGAGCGATATAAGCTTGAAGAGGCTCGTTCATATGTATCCGATAGTAGTGACAGTTGCTACTCATCAATGGCAGCAAATGGATGCTCAAATTCACAAGTAGCTACGGGAGCTGCTTCCAATCCACCTCGGTTCGTTTCTACAATAATTTGCAGTAGTATCTCATCCACTTAAGCAACCGAACTCGACAATTTTTTTTTCTTTGCCCATTTGTTCTGTTCTCGATAGCTGACAATTTTTTTTTTATGTTTTTTTTTTACCTACTAATCTTTAAGAGCATATTCATTCGCTGGTCGGTGTAACCTTCGTCCCACCGGAGTACAGAGTGGTGTAGTCGAGAATGTTGATCATCGTGGTGATAATTCTAACGGAGGACTTCTTCCTCCACAAGAAGATCCTCGGAAAAGAGCTTTTTCTTTGGGCAGCAAGACCCTTTTCCCGTAAGTGGCGTTTACTCTCAATTCATTTGATTAGTTACTTTTACTGTTCTTTTTTGCAACAGACGCCCTTTCCGTAAAATCTCACAACATGCCTCAAGACAACAACGCCTGTCTCAAACATCGGCTTCGGGTGCATCACTAGGTAGTGCTATGTTCTATATCTAGCGTTTATACACAGCTCCTTCAAGATAAAGTATCTATTGCTCAGCTTCTTCCGAAATCTCGTCTTCTTTTGGACCGTCGTCGTCTAGCGCCAATCATTTGACCGGTTTGAATTGCTCTGAGAAGGAAGAGTACACGAGAAATCGGTACGATGTCTTTCGATTCCATAGCAGTAGTATTTGTAACTTCCTCTTTTCGTTAAGTTCTGGCAGCTTTGGATCTGGGCGTAGTACCCCCTACAATCGAAGAGGTGGATCCTCCGGTACACGTGACGGTACTGAT